CGATCTAGCTTCTATTCTGTCTTCCGAAGTCATTGTGATGTTGCAGTCTTCGACCCATCATCTTTTTTTGTCAAAGATCATGTTCTCTCCTTTTGCTTATCCATTCAATCGGAGTGTCGTGTCCTTCATTCAAGTTCTCTCATCTTATCAAGTTTTACCTCCCTTCTCAACCGGAGTGCTGTCTGAAATCTTTCTTACCCCTTCTGTTGTTCTTTCAATAGTTCCGGAGGCGGTGTCTTGTTGATTTCATCAAGTATCATCCCATCATCTCAAGTTCATGTTCTATTCCTTCCATTTACAGTCAGAGTGCTATCCAAATTATATCATCCTTATTCCTTCTCTATCTTGTTTTAATCGAAGTGTGGTGTCTATCATTCCTCTTCTAACCGGAGTCTCATCCAAGTGCTTTCATTTTGCCAAGTTCATATTCTATGCCTTCCTTTTCCAACCGGAGTGTTGTCGTAATTGATCTTTATCGTTCCTTGTACATCTCGTGTCAACCGGAGTGCTTGTATGTACTTCTTGTCCATTGTACCTCTTTTCTTATGTCTTTCAACCTACAAGGTTCTAGTAAGGTTCCTTGTTCCTCTTTTCTAACGGAGTGTTTTCAACTTTGTTCATCTTCGTTGTATTCTTTCTTTCAATATGTTCAACCTTGAAAGGTTCTTTGGTTTCACTCATTTGTCAAAGAAGCAACTTAGTTTTACCTCTTCTCTTCCTCTTCCGTTTCCCTGCGGTGCCATCCTAGATCTCGGGACAAGATCCTCTTGTAGTGGTGGACTGTTGTGACGCCCTGAGTCCGATGCGCCAGGTGTCTTCCAGTTATTCGTTGTTGTTGCCTTGTCATTCGCTTGCGTGTTGCATCTTGCCATGTCATCATGTGCATTGCATCATCATGTTTTCAAAACTTGCACTCGTCCGTTTATCTTTTTCATGGACTCGTTCTTCTTCCTTGCGGGATCTCAGGCAAGATGATCATACCCTCGAAATCACTTCTATCTTTGCTTGCTAGTTGTTCGCTCTATCACTATGTCGCGCTACCTACCACTTGTTATATCATGCCTCCCATATTGCCATGTCAAGCCTCTAACCCACCTTCCTAGCAAACCGTTGTTTGGCTATGTTACCCTTTTGCTCAGCCCCTCTTATAGCGTTGTTAGTTGCAAGTGAAGATGAAGTTCGTTCCATGTTGGAACATGGATATGTTGGGATATCACAATATCTATTATTTTTAATTAATGTATCTATATACTTGGTAAAGGGTGGAAGGCTCGGCCTTATGCCTGGTGTTTTGTTGCACTCTTGCTGCCCTAGTTTCCATCATACCGGTGTTATGTTCCTTGATTTTGCGTTCCTTACGCGGTTTGGTGTTATGGGAACCCCTTGACAGTTCGCTTTGAATAAAACTCCTCCAGCAAGGCCCAACCTTGGTTTTACCATTTGCCTCACCACCACCTATACTTTTCCCTTGGGAGTCACGCTCCCGAGGGTCATCTTTATTTTAACCCCCCAGGCCAGTGCTTCTCTAAGTGTTGGTCCGAACTGAGTAGACTGCGGGGCCACCTCAGGGAAACTTGAGGGTTGGTTTTACTCATAGGATGTCTCATCCAGTGTTGCCCTGAGAACCAGATATGTGCAGCTCCTATCGGGATTGTCGGCACATCGGGCGGCTTTGCTAGTCTTGTTTTACCATTGTCGAAATGTCTTGTAACCGGGATTCCGAGACTGATCGGGTCTTCCCGGGAGAAGGAATATCCTTGGTTGACCGTGAGAGCTTGTGATGGGCTAAGTTGGGACATCCCTGTAGGGTATAAACTTTCGAGAGCCGTGCCCGCGGTTATGTGGCAGATGGGAATTTGTTAATATCTGGTTGTAGTGAACTTGACACTTAACTTAATTAAAAGGAATCAACTGCGTGTGTAGCCGTGATGGTCTCTTTTTGGCGGAGTCCGGGAAGTGAACACGGTCTCGTGTTATGCTTGATCGTAAGTAGCTTTAGGATCACTTCTAGCTTCTCGATCGTTGCGTTGCTTCTCTTCTTGCTCTCTTTTGCGTATGTTAGCCACCATATATGCTAGTGCTTGTTGCAGCTCCACCTCACTACCCTTTCCTACCCATAAGCTTAAATAGTCTTGATCTCGCGGGTGTGAGATTGCTGAGTCCTCGTGACTCACGGATACTTTCAAACAGTTGCAGGTGCCGACGATACCAGTACAGGTGACGCAACCAAGCTCAAGTGGGAGCTTGATGAAGATCTTGATCATTGTTTTGTGTCTTCCGATTGATCAATAGTGGAGCCCAGTTGAGACGATCAGGGATCTAGCACTTGGGGTTGTCTTCCTTTTATTTTGGTTCTGTAGTCGGACCTTGATTGTATTATGGATGATGTATGTTTAACTTGTTATTGGTGTGAAGTGGCGATTGTAAGCTAACTATTTATCCCTTTCTTATTCAGTACATGGGATTGTGTGGAGATTACCCCACTTGCGACTAATCTATCATGCGGCTATGTCTCTAAGTCGTGCCCCGACACGTGGGAGATATAGCCGCATTGTGGGTGTTACACAATTACACTCGTAAAATCCACCCCCGTAAAAACAAACCGAGTGGGTTCCGGTTAACGATTGGTTGATCGTTTTGGTCCGTAAATTTTGCACGTGTATTCAAGATTACACCTGGTTTTGGCCGGTATTGGATAAACTTCTCATCACATCTGTTTCCCCCCGTTTTCTGACTCTTTCTCTCACCTAGCCAAGGACGAACCAACCATGGCATGCTGGAGAGAGGAGGTAGTACGCCAAGTCTTTGTTCCCGCTAATGCAGAGGCAATCCTGAAGATTCCCCTCTGTACAAGACAAGTGGACAACTTTTGGGCATGGTCGGGCGATCTGAGGGGACGTTTCTCAGTAAAATCAGCTTACAAATTGATCCATAAGATGAAGATGGGAAGGGAAGACTGGTTGGATGAGGCTGAGGATATGTCCAGCGGAGAATCCAAAGGATGGTCATCTATTTGGGGATTGCAAGTTCCTTCAAAACTGAAAATATTCACATGGAGGCTGGCTCGTCACTCACTTCCTACCAGTGATGTGCTGCATCGTCGGAACATGTCACCATCGCATGTGTGTGCGTTATGTGGAGCAGATGACAACTGGCGCCATTCTCTTATTGACTGTAACTACGCCCGGTGCGTGTGGGCTCTATCAAATGAGGATATGGTGCAGCATATGTGTATGTAGAGAGATGAACATGCAAAGAGATGGCTCTTTCTAATGAGCGAATCGCTTCCTCAAGAGGAATTCACTACCATGATTGTCACACTATGGGCGATTTGGGCAGCGAGGAGAAAGATAATCCATGAAGGAATTTACAAAACTCCATTCGCTACTCATGGTTTTGTCACTAGCTACTTGGCTGATTTGAAGCACATACCGAAACCTGTTGACAGGTCACTGACAACTCCAAGGGTCCGCCCTACTGCTTGGCAGCCACCACCGAATGATCATGTTAAAATTAATGTAGATGCGGCTGTGCCGCGTGCTGGTGGAAGGGGGGCTGTGGGAGTCGTTTGCCGCGATGCATTGGGTGTGTATTTAGGGGCCTCGGCAGTTGTCTTCAACAACATAGAGGACCTGGAGGTGCTTGAAGTTCTAGCTACCAGGGAAGCAATGGCACTTGCCGAGGACTTATACGAGCAGAAGGTTTTCATCGCCTCAGATTGCATGACAGCGGTGGAGGCGATCAAAGGAGGAACGACAACAGCATATGGAGCAATCATCGCCTCAGATTGCATGACAGCGGTGGAGGCGATCAAAAGAGGAACGGCAGCAGCATATGGAGCAGTGGTACATGAAATAAGGGATAGAACTCGTTTTTTCACATCTTGTTCTTTTAGTCATGAATTTCGATCCTCGAACATTGAGGCTCACAACCTCGCAAAGCATGCATTAACGTTGGGAACCAGCCGCCATGTTTAGTTAGCCACCCCGGCGATCTTTTGTTCGTCCCTGTAAACATTGTGACGGTTGAATAAAAGTTTCGCGAGTTTGTCTAAAAAAAAAACCTAGCCAAGGACGAGGGCGCATGCCTCCGGACGAACGGTTCCAGGCACAGGAAATAGCCGAGCCACCAGTGTCAGGGACCATAGGCCTGGCGAGTTCCTGGCGCCAACGTCACGTGCCTTGCCATGCTCGGCTGGAGTTCCCGCCGACCAGCGGGTTGAGGCAGCAACAAACTGGCAGGCTGCGGTCCTGACCAGGCCGGCAAAGAGCGTGGGCTCCAAGGGCGCATACCTCCGGACGGACGGCTCCAGGCACAGGAATGGACGAGCCACCGGTGTCGGGGACCATAGGCCTGGCGAGTTACTGGCGCCGACATCACGTGCCTTGCCATGCTCGGCTGGAGTTCCCGCCGACCAGCAGGTTGAGGCGGCAACGAACTGGCAGGCTGCGGTCCTGACCAGGCCGGCAAAGAGCGTGGGCTGAGGCAACGTCGGTGGCGGTTGTGAGCGGGTTCCGTGGCGGCGGCAGCTACCTTGGCAAGGTCTGGAAATGTCCATGCTGACTGCCGGAGTGAACTTTATGACGACGGCGGTGGTGACTGCCGGCTGCCGACAGAGACTGGAGCAGCACGCCATGACCGGCAGTACAAGAGGAGTTGAGGTCGTCGCACACCACCTGGCAAACTGACCAATTCATCTCCGTCATTGTCCGCATCATTGTCCGCATCGTTGTGGCATCTGGCGCTATACCTGAAGTTTCTGAATCTCAGAATGACTTGTTGTGCTGTATGTTGCTGACAGGCTAAATACGATGCTATCCAAGCAGAAATCCAGAATTTTACAATTGTGTTTTCGTTACACTTGTATCTCAGGTGTGCACAGAAAAATGCCCTTGTAGATTAATACAGGTGGAAAATATAAACCGCCCAAGCGCAGCCTACGCCAGCTGTGCATATACATACTTTAAACGCACTGAACCTGTGGCAATCTGCGGCTGAGTTTATCTTACACCCATGGACTCCCCGCCTAGTTCTACATTGTACTCCAGTCCGCAACAGCATTTAATAGGATCAGAAACTCCCTGCAGAGAAAGATGTTCAGCTTCTTAAGACTGCACATGGCATCATTGAAAGTAACGCACTCCCTCCGATCCAAATTAATTGACGCAACTTTAGCACAACTTTGTACTAAAGCTGCGTCAATTAATTTGGATCGGAGGTAGTATATGTATTTCTCCATGAGAAGAAGAAAAAGGAAATCAATTAGATTAAATCATGGAGCAACCAAACTGAAAAGTATCGGTAAAACACCTTCATTTTAATGATTTGTTCTTCAAGAGACTGGAAGTACTCGGCTTCTCCAGCTCCATCACCTTGTAGACCTTTGTATTCCTCCTCCAAGGACTTAATATCCATCTCCTGTACTGCAGCCTGCAGGCACCAGGATGAAATAACACACATGGAGAATGACTTGATAACAGAATGATGTTTACGGTTAAGAAACACACTGAACTTACAGGGAATCTAGCAGTTATGTTGCTCTCCTGCTCAAGGGTCTGCTTACACTGCAAAGTTAATAATTCTTTAGTTTAACTAAAACAGCAATTGCGACTGCTTGGCAGATCTAGGGCCATAAGAGTCTCCAGAACTAGAATACTTCGCTGATTTCTAAGAGGAGCTGTGATCCTTTTGCTTTGATATCCAGTAGCTTCTTTCCAACGTCAGATTCCTGTTTATTAGTTAGTGAGCGACACATGACAGGTTGGATGTTCCTTTGCTACAGGAGGAGAATGGGAAGCATGGAATACCTTGTCTATGCTCCCTCCTAAGTTGAGCACTTCATACCTCTTCCCTGCAATAACACAACAGATCAATATTCAGGTGAAGCTATTAGTTACAGTTTCACAATTGACAAAAATTCCTATTTATGTTATCCAATGTAACAGTTTCACAAGTTAAAAGTCAAGATGATATCTAGAATGGTGCAGACCTGATAGTAAGCTAATAGTTTAATCTCAAAATTTCAAGCAAAGTAACATCACTCAAACAGAAAACAGGTAATATAAACAGAGCCTGGTCAGTGCACGCATGTAGTTTGCTAATTGCGTCGATCAAAAGTTCTTTTTTTTACTAATTGCAGAAACCACCTCATGTAGATTGTTCAGATACTCCATATCAGCAGCACTGCTTCCATTCATCAAGAAGCTAGTACAGAGCACCTGAGATGGGACCATTATGCTTCCATGAAGTTTGCTCCTGGCATCCTGGCAGCATCCAAGATTGGAACTGACACTGACAGGTGGGGGGCATGATTACCTCACCCAGCTCATGTGTGCTTCGTAGTGCAACACAGTATCATCCTCACGTAGCTTCATGGCTGCCAAGTTTGAGGAGCCCATGCACAAAGTGTTTGTAGCTACCCCTTGTGACCTAGCTTTGCCGCTCTATGTGCACCCTTGGACAACGGCTCAATTGCACCATGTAGCTGACTCGCTGCCCCTGTGGCATCTGCCTCCTGTGTATTCCAATGACGAGACCATCAACCACTCCATCCCACTCACCTCGTCCAATCAAACCAAGTTGCCCCACGACCACCCTGTGAGGCACCACTCTGAGAAAATGAGCCAAGCTTGTGTTATTTATCACCTAGTACCAGAGCAACTTAGACTCCTTAGTGCATGCTTATGGTTAGCATTGCATAGTAGTCAGTTCAAAGTGACAAAAACTTCAACACAAGTCTAAGGGTGTGTTCCCAAGAAAACATGTCTAGTGATGTGGGTTAGCACTTGAAATTAGCAAGTCGCTTATATAGCAAAAGAATGTTCCAGCCTTAAGGGTAGATATGGGCGAGTGGTAAGTAAGAGACTGGTGCAGTGACGCAGAGGCATGGTGGGGTGAAGGAATGTGCAAATCGAAAGCACAAGGCACAGGTAGCTTAGGCCCAGAATTATAGGAGATGGTACAGTCAGGATGTTGCTACTTTGATAATCAGGAAATAATGGCTACTGGCGAAAGAGAGAAAAGATGGATAAGTTAAGCTACCCCCATGAGGCATATCAAAGAATCATGCTAATGAAACCGACTCCTAGAGCTCCCCAGTGGGTTTTAATGGCTTCGCAAAGGTTTGGTAGCTAGTTTCTAAACCTTAAGGGTAATGTAGTCGGACGCCAAACGACATGGCTGTGTCAAACGTCATGGTATTAAGTAGACTTCTCCAACAACAAAGCTTTTAGTCCCAAACAAGTTGTGGTAGGCTAGAGGTGAAACCCATAAGATCTCGCAACCAACTCATGGTTCTGGCACATGGATAGCAAGCTTCCACGCACCCCTTTCCATAGCTAGTTCTCTTTCGATAATCCAGTCCTTGAGATCCCTCTTTATGGACTCCTCCCATGTCAAGTTCGGTCTACCCCGACCTCTCTTGACATTATCAGCACGCTTTAGCCGTCCGCTACGCACCAGCGCTTCTGGGGCCTGCGCTGAATATGCCCAAACCATCTCAGACGATGTTGGACAAGCTTCTCTTCAATCGGCACTACCCCAACTCTATCTCGTATATCATCATTCCGGACGCCGTCCTTCCTTGTGTGGCCACACATCCATCTCAACATACGCATCTCCGCCACACCTAACTGTTGAACATGTCGCCTTTTAGTCGGCCAATAACTCAGCGCCATACAACATTGCGGGTCAAACCGCCGCCCTATAGAACTTGCCTTCTAGCATTTGTGGCACTCTCTTGTCACAAAGAATGCCAGAAGCTTGGCGCCACTTCATCCATTCAGCTTTGATTCGATGACTCACATCATCGATATCCCTATCCTTCTGCAGCATAGACCCCAAATATCTAAAGGTGTCCTTCGAGGCACCACCTGCCCATCAAGACTAACCTCCTCCTCCACGTGCCTACTAGTACTGAAACCGCACCTCATGTACTCGGTTTTAGTTCTACTAAGTCTAAAACCTTCAGATTCCAAGGCTTGTCTCCATAGCTCTAACTTCCTATTGCCGACTATCATCGACTAGCACCACATCATCCGCAAAGAGCATACACCACGGGATATCTCCCTGTATATCCCTTGTGACCCCATCCATCACCAGAGCGAAAAGATAAGGGCTCAAAGCTGACCCCTGGTGCAGTCCTATTTTAACCGAGAAGTCATCAGTGTCGCCATCACTTGTTCGAACACTTGTCACAATATTATCATATATGTCCTTGATGAGGGTAATGTACTTTGCTGGGACTTTCTGTTTCTCCAAGGCCCACCACATGACATTCTGTGGTATCTTATCGTAGGCCTTCTCTAAGTCAATGAACACCATATGCATGTCCTTCTTTTGCTCCCTGTATCTCTCCATGAGTTGCCGTACCAAGAAAATGGATTCCGTGAGGCATGAAACCAAACTGATTTTGGTCACGCTTGTCACACTTCTTAAGCGGTGCTCAATGACTCTCTCTCATAGCTTCATTGTATGGCTCATCAGCTTAATTCCATGGTAATTAGTACAACTCTGAACATCCCCTTGTTCTTGAAGATTGGTACTAATATACTCCGTCTCCATTCTTCTGGCATCTTGTTTGCCCGAAAAATGAGGTTGAAAAGCTTAGCTAGCCATACTATAGCTATGTCTCCGAGGCCTGTCCACACCTCAATGGGGATACAATCAGGGCCATAGCCTTGCCTCCTTTCATCATTTTTAGAGCCTCCTTGACCTCCGACTCCTGGATTCGCCGCACAAAACGCCTACTGGTATCATCAAAGGAGTCATCCAGTTCAATGGTAGAGCTCTCATTCCCCCCATTGAACAGCTTGTCTAAGTGCTCCCGCCATCTATGCTTAAGCTCCTCGTCCTTCACCAGGGTGTTAGCTACGATCACCGTCAGATCGTCCAAGATGGAAGTTTCTTCATAGAATCACTGTCAGATCCTTGTTTTGCCTCTTCTACTAGTGCCCCCAACCGAACCAACAACCTATCCAACTCCATGATTCGGTTTTTGGTAGGAGCACGAGTCTCCAACTTGCATAATTCATTGACTAGCTGTGTAAAGCATTCGTAATAAAGGCATGTATGTATTTTTTAAAATCATTAAAATGTTATGTTGGAACCTTTGTTTGTCATGTGTATGAATAGTACTCATAGGTGTGGAACACAAGCTTTTCCTCGACTGGTGAAGATGGGCGCAGTTGGGTCCTGAAGAAAAACTAACCCCACGCCAGGGTAAGCTAAGTAACATGCATACAGCAAGCATATGAACTGACTCATGTCCGAAGATGGAAAGAATAATTAAAAGCCACTATTATTTGACTTTTTGTTTAGCAGAACCCGTACCTTCAAAAATGTTCTGCTTGTTCATAGGTGCTTCAACCTGCATGGGTGCATATGTTACAACGATGATCGAAACAATATATTGCCTCGCTTAACAAGAGCGTGAAACGACAAAGAGGGAGTGAATTAATAAAAATCCTTATGGTCCAACTTGCATAGTAGATGTTGGATATCAACTTACTCAATTCAAAGTGGCCTAATAACTGTCAAACATTCATGTACAACTTATGCAAGAGTTGAATTACCATGAATAAACACACCATACAAAGTTATTCTCATGCTTAAATTACTTTTACTTCGGTTAGAGGTAAGTGGTTGTTTGGTTGTCTCTAAGCTATTAGGGATAGAAAGTTTTTTTTGTTACAAGGAGACACATTTGAGCCATGACAGTTAACAACCATATCTTCTCTTCAAGCTAAGCTTATGACGAACTTGACATACAGGATCCAATGTCATTAGTTGACTAAGCGGTGACAAACTCTCTAGTTTGTTGTGTTTTGTTTTACTTCTTTTTCTTTTAGCTACAAGGACTAGAATCATGTTGGTATGCATGTATTTGTTCAAGATCATCCAATTGTTGCTTTGGCTTGTCTTTGTGTTTGCCAATTGGAAGTGACAAGAACACATAGGATTCTCTAGTCTCTATCTATGCTCATTTTACCTAAATTCTACTCCATCTATGCACTCGATCATTTGTTCTGCAAACCCTGGAAGTACTGGATGATGTTCCAAGAACTACCGACCAAGTTTCCACCTTCAAAAATTCTCTGAGGTGTTTGAAACCTCTAGTAAAATCTCTATATGAGTTATCGAATATTTATCTTTTTTGTTTGTGGATTTTAATCTTTCATCCCTGGCACTGCTTTAAACCAAAGGCTCGGTACCAGTGGTCCTTTTGTTTACGATACTATCGGACAGTGTACCGAGTACGCACCTCTACAGGTTCACTTCGATCCATATGTGCTTGTTGTGCTCAAGCTTTCCAATCGCCTCTGCCATCATCATTGTCGTTTTGCGACATTTCCATGCACTTTCTCCGTTAAATCTGCTTGACGCAATATAGTAAATCTTCCGTCATACTTGCCGTGCAACCGCCAGGGTATTTGCAGACCCTAGCCCTAATCCATGTTTAATTTTAAGACTAGATCTGCTTAGAATCTTTAGGCCAATATATTCTTCTCAAACACCCCACAATCCATGCAAGATACACTGAAAATCCATTGATTTTCATTCTGTAATTTCAAATCTTTTACACAGCCCAAAACCATCATAGTAGTACCTCTTGATACGACCGGAACAATGTTGAGCTAGCGTCCAAGATGTCACTGTTCAAAACTACTGCTCGCAATTGCCGACGCTATTTTAGCAGTGTGCCCTGCAGCTTTATAACTGCTTGGTACTACCGGCTAAATTTCTATTTGGAACTATCGGACCTTGCGGAAAACTAAAAATTGCGTCATTTTAATTTTTCCGTTACTTTCTTTGTATCCATGTGTATCTTACCTCTACTTCTCATCTATATATCATCCATAGGCATTTGTTGGTCTGCTTTGCTCATTGGTCTGCTTAGTTGTCTGCTTGCAAGATGTCTGGATCAGGATCTAACTCTAATGCTATCTACAGTGATCATATAGCCCTGGATGTTGGATCCTTTTTTTTCGAGAAAACACAGAGACTTTTGCGTTTCTTTTCATTGAGAAGGAAGAGTTGAAGTTACAATCCTCGAGAGGCACGGGTAATGAGCAATGCAAGGAAATTAATGTACATCCCAAGATCGGGGCATAGTGTCATGGAGTCCGGAAGCGCCAGCTCAGGCCCAAAGCTTTGCCTCGTCCCTTATCTTCGCAACCAGGCTGCTGACAAATGGTTGGGCACCCTCGAAGACACATTCCTTATGGTGTTTCCAAATCATCCATGTGGCGAGAAGGGCAATGGGGGTGAGGCCTTTGCGCATGGGTTTTGAGGTGTGTTGTTAAGAAGCGTGCCACCAGTCCAGGAGGGAGGCGTCATCGTTCGGCGGTGACATGCGCAGTTAGGCAAGCATCTCGTGCCAAACCTGTCTGGGAACGGGTAGCAGAGACGCAGGTGGCGCATCGACTCGGGGCTCAGGCAGCAGAGGAGGCATGAGCTGCGGTGCTGGAGGCCGCGGCGAACAAGGCAGTCCAGCACCGATCCTGGTCAGCTAGTCGGTGGAAGAAGCACACCCAAGGTGGGGTTCCTCCAAATGGCTTCCAGGAGCTGCTGCGGAGCGAGCCCTGGAAGGTGGCCTGATAGTAGGATTTCGCAGAGTGAACACCGCTCGAAGTCCACTTCCACAATAGGTGATCGGGCTTCGTGGTCAGGGTGGTGTGCCCGACGGCATACCAGAGCTAGATGTACTGTCCGATCTTGTAGACGCCCAGTGCGCCATGGATGTTACGAGCCCAAATGTTGGCCAAAAGTCCATCAGAGACGGTTCGTAGTTTTCGGCGGCGCTTAGCGACGCAATCGGAAGGCTACGGAGCAATCTCGCTGACTGAGCGCCCGCCGATCCACTGGTCCTCCCAAAATAAGGCGGTGCGGCCATCACCCATTGCCATCGAGGTGGAGGAAAAGAATAGAGCTCACTCCTCGGCACAGAACTGCAAGTCTAAGTTGCTACATGCTCGCTTGCTATTAGTGCGGCTCAACCAAAGCCATCGCAAGCGAAGCGCCAGCCCGGTTCGCTCTAGGTCTTGGGATGCCGAGGCCTCCAAACTCAATTGGGTGACAAGTTCGGCGCAATTGACATGGCAGTTGCCCGCTATTGGCAGCCTCGCACCCAGCCCACAGGAACCCTATCTTAATCTTCCCAAGATGCTTGATGATTTTCTTGGACGACGCAAAGACCAATAGCTGGTGTATGGGGATCGCATAGAGGACAGACTTGACTGTCGTGAGGCGCCCAGCCTTGTTCATGAGTCCTGCTTTCCAAGATGGAAGTTGTCCTTGTGTCGTATACACGAGAGGCTGCAGCTGCGTGGCAGTGGGGCGTCTCACTGTTATTGGAATTCCCAAGTGAGCGGGAGCTCAACGATTGGGCACCCCAGGAGCTAGACAACAGGTGTTGCTACGCCGATGTCACAATGGAGGGTGGCGGAGCTCTTAGCGAAGTTGATGCGGAGCTCGGAGGCGTGGCCAAATAGCTGGAGGATCTCCTTCACCACAATGACCTTAGCTGGCGATGGGTGACAACACAACACGATATCGACAGCATATAGTGAGATTGTCAGGATGGAGCGTCACAGGTGCGGCTGATACCAAGAGAGACGACACGACTGATCAAACGCCCAAGCACATCCACGGCGAGGACAAAGAGCTATGGGGACAGCGGGTCACTTTGTCGGAGGCCGTGGCGATGCCAAATTGGCGGTCTAGGGGCACCATTGAGGATTCGCGTGCTCGCCAAAGGTAGCAGGATTGCAAGCCATTCCAGGAAGCGATCCCTGAAGCCATAGCAGCGCAATACCTCAAACAGGAACGGCCATGAGATGGAATCGAAGGCCTTCATGAGGTCAAGAATGAGGAGGACTCTGGGGGCCTTGAGCTAGTGGAGCAGGCAGGCTGATTGCTTACCAGGACAAAGTTATTGAGAATGTTGTGCCCTGGGATGAAAGCGTTCTAGTTCGAGCTAACGAGGCCATCCAACTTAGAGGCAAGGCGCAGCGAGAGTGTTTTCGCGAACTTAGCGACAAGATGGATCAGACTAATAGACCTGCAGTCAGCGAATCCGACAACATCGACGCGCTTGGGCAGCAAGGTAAGGAGCACTTGGTTGAAGCGGCAAAATCCTTGTCCGCACATGTCATAGAGCTGCTGGAAGACGTCCACAATGTCCTGCTTAACCGTGTGCCAAGAGGCACGAAGGAACTCGGGAGTAGAGCCGTCAGGGCCCGGCACCTTGCATGCAGGAAGCCGCTTTATTGCATTCCAAATCTCCTCCATGTTGCGCCACAAGGTTCAGCATGCAGTCGCGATCGACAGAGGTGCCCAGTAGGCCATCGAAGTGTAAGAAAGTCGCTTCCTCCACGTCGGTGTGCTCGATGAGGACGCAATCGCGGAGGTGATGTTGTGCATCCTATTCTTCTGTCGGCAGTAGGTGCTCTGCCGGTGGAAGAATGATGTGTTTGCATCCCCATCCTTCAGTGAACGTCGCCGAATTCTGATCTGTAAGTTGGATAGGATCACCCATGCGCTCAGATTCCAGACCATGACGAACTCCGTCACCCTCATCCTCTACAATCATGGTGTGCATGATCACACATGTTGCACTTCCCACAACGTCTCTGCATCTCATATTCTTGCAGGTCCTCGAACAACTGCAAAACGGGTTTGGAGCACTCCAAATGCCCTTCTCACCCCTTCGATCAGAGTGGGCATTCGCGGTCAATCCACATGACCCACAATAGGCCTGCATAATCACCCACCTTCATATCCATCGTGCATGGCACGTTGGCCTTAGACTTTTCACTTTTTATTTGCAACTAGACATCTGCACAAGCTAAGTTCATGGCTCAATCGATTCATCTACGTTTGTCACTAGCTTCTAGTGCATGTAGCACGAAGGCCGGAGCAATACCAGAACCGAATTGATTAGAATACTCGACCAACTTTGTACAGGTTTTGCTCACGGCGAGAAGTGTCAACCAGAGATAATAATCAATCAACCGACTCCCCCATGTGTACATGTGCCAAGTTGCCCTCGCCAAAGAAAGTAATCAGCAAGTCAGCATTGATGTGTTGTGGTAAGGCAGAGCATCACCTCAGGCAGGCGTGAGCGAAGTTCAACGAATTCAGGGCACATGCAGGCTTGCGGCGCCCACAGGTCCCGCATAAAAGCTTGGTATTCTACAGCATTGCTCACATAACTTTTTCGGGCAAGTCAACGACCGTGAGGAGCTCGCAACCCATCCCATCCGCGAGGAGCTTCTCCCGCACACAATCTTGCAAACAATGGAGACCGCCACAACACATTGATGTCATTGTGAGACCCAGGCAGCCCAAAGAGTGCCAAATCCAGAG